TTAGATGTTATATTAGTCAAACTAATTCCTCTATGGTTATCACAGGATGATTTCGACCCCTTACTATGCAGACTACTTGGACGACGTACGTGTGACTATTGTAACCAATGGTTGGAGACTCTATGTGACATGTCTCAGAATCGATCACAATGGCGTAGTTGCATACACTCTATTTCCTCCCTTAAACGATGAGATTAAAGTTGTTTCATATCTGTCTTTCTTCCTGTACTATATTTTTATATGCAATCTCACTTTTATATATTACCACCATAAAATTAACTACTTCTATGAATTCGGTGTTCATGTTGTTGTGCTAATGAGGTATGGCAACTTGGACGGATGCACAACTTAGCTGAATGTAAAATAGAAGTGATCTATAGTATCTTGTTATCAATGTATTATGATTTCTATTATTACGACCCCAAGGTTGAATGGAAATAGAAATCACGATAAGAAAAACGTTAGTATATTCATAATTTTTACATAAAAAAGATACTGGGGTCTTCTCCATGTATCGGATAGCGCTGATTGTGTAAGAAACAGCCGACCAGAGTGCCCCTGACACAGTCCTGCATGGAACATGCCCGGATCCAATCTATATCCCGCTAACATGAAGTTCGGTTAATAGTTGTCGCAGTGATCACAAGTATAATAAATAAATATATTTACTCATTACTGCTATGTGCACAAAACATGTATTCGAACTTCATGCATGGTTGTCTTAGTCTTACAAATCAATTTCAATATCTTTCGTCCTATTAATTGGATTGATACCCTTTGTAATTCAAATCTAACTTGTCTTCTTGATAAAAACCATACACTGCGCTATTCAATACTATTTGCTAGATTATTGATCTAGTCATATTACTTTATATTTAATAAATGTTGACAGTAAATTTATTTCAGATTTCTTCCGAATAAGTTTACTTACTCACAACTATGAATATAACTCAGTCAAACGGAATACCTTTCTCTTATTTATTCTTCTAAGCACTAAAACTAAATACGGCCACTTAGTTTATAAAAGGTGACCATTAAAGTCTAAATGATCCATCACACTAGTTGTTTGCTATTTAAACTGATAAATAGTTGTGAAGTATTAGAGTTCTTATTATGTCATAGTAACTCCGCCTGTAGCTCCTCCAGGGGCTACTGCCGGTCCCAAGCCCGGGTAAAGGAGGAGGGTTGGGCATGGGGTTTGCGACCCCATCCCGTAGAAAATCAACTCGCTAAAAAAACGCTAACCAGAAAAATTCATTCAACATTTTATTCTGTTATACATTTATTACAAAAAAAACCCTTATTCATTAAAAATTTATTTTCATAATTAAAAGAGCTCAATAGCTATAATTGACTTCTTGGATAGTAAGTCATCTGTGAATTTTAAATAATGTAACGAAATAGTACTAATCCCAATCAGTCTAGAACTTCAACGAGATACAATCAGAAAGTCAAATTTGAAATATGCAATATGAAATTGTATTTTATTATTATGATAGGTATATACACAACGTGAAATATTTAACTGTACAGTAAATGTATTAACCATTCAACATATCACCTATACGATTCATCTTAGTTACAAAAATTATGCAAATTCGCCCAAAATAAGGTAATCATTAGTTAAATAAGAATAAAAGCGATATATTTGACTCTTGTAAATGATAGAACTTTATAAGAACAAATACTGATTAATAGAACAGCATATATTAATTAACTCCGAATTTATACAAGTTTGCATTATGTTGCTCACATACTTCAGTCAGTGGAACTTTCAAGGGCGTGATGAAATGTATCCGCTTTATAACAATTCAATTTCTAGTGATCATGATGATAATATTTGTGACCAACAGATGCCCCCCTTTGTTCCAATTCTTTATATAATAATCTTTTGTAAAAATAAAGCTACATATACAAACTTATAATGCAGTCTTAATTTATGACTTCTTTGACCTTAAATATGCTGTACACATAAGAAGTATGGTGGTATCTTACAATCAAATTAGGTTGGCTACTTAAAATGATATACCAATGTCATATGTGTCAACACATATTTCTGTTGCTACTATGACATAATAAGAACTCTAATACTTCACAACTATTTATCAGTTTAAATAGCAAACAACTAGTGTGATGGATCATTTAGACTTTAATGGTCACCTTTTATAAACTAAGTGGCCGTATTTAGTTTTAGTGCTTAGAAGAATAAATAAGAGAAAGGTATTCCGTTTGACTGAGTTATATTCATAGTTGTGAGTAAGTAAACTTATTCGGAAGAAATCTGAAATAAATTTACTGTCAACATTTATTAAATATAAAGTAATATGACTAGATCAATAATCTAGCAAATAGTATTGAATAGCGCAGTGTATGGTTTTTATCAAGAAGACAAGTTAGATTTGAATTACAAAGGGTATCAATCCAATTAATAGGACGAAAGATATTGAAATTGATTTGTAAGACTAAGACAACCATGCATGAAGTTCGAATACATGTTTTGTGCACATAGCAGTAATGAGTAAATATATTTATTTATTATACTTGTGATCACTGCGACAACTATTAACCGAACTTCATGTTAGCGGGATATAGATTGGATCCGGGCATGTTCCATGCAGGACTGTGTCAGGGGCACTCTGGTCGGCTGTTTCTTAAACAATCAGTGCTAACCAATACTTGAAGAAGACTGTAGAATCTTTTTATTCAAAATTTATAGATGTACTAACGTTTTCCTTATTTTGATTCCTACTTCCATTTAACTTTGTTGTTTGGAATATAATTACATACTTGTTCAACTTAGTTCTGATTTGCGGACTTGTCAAGATAAGTAGTGTCTAAGAATATTAAGCAGTAAGAGTACTAGTGTCGTATTAAGAGAAATCATAATACTTCGGTAACAAGATACTATAGATCACTTCTGTTTTAATTTCAGCTACTCTTGTAAAATTTAATTGCTAAAGACAAAAAAAATAAAAGGTTGATTACTATTCGAGTTATGGTTAACGCTTGTTAGTTGAAGAATTGGTTTCAGTGAATAGTTGTCATGTAAATGAATGAACACAATAAAATTAATCAATAAAATAAAACTGCACTGTAAATTAAATGAATAAAAATCACGTTAAGTCAAAATGTGAATAATAAAATTGATTTGTTCTTAAATCAAGATTGATTATTTGTAACGTGATTATTCAATGATCATAATAATAAAAAAATTGATTTTAATTTTTTGTTGTTGATGGTTTCATATTATTAAACAAGTATAAATGATAATTCTAAATTTTCTATAATTGAAATCATGAGTCAATTGAAGCCACACAACCATGGAAAACATGGAAGCACTGGACGGCCGTTACGTCATATTGTGGGACTCCTCAGCAGTGCGCATTATAAATTTATAAAATATTCAGAAAATGAACTGAGGAATAGATTTCATTAATTGATAACCTACCACTTTGATCAAAAGAACTATGCCACAGAATAACTCAACTGATTTCCATGAACGTGGTTAATTTGGAAATTTATGTGATGAAAGCATATCAAAGACTAATTGTAGATAAATTTATCTTAAGACATCCCTATTGTTTGGAATTCCGGACTATCAATCTGAGCTTATGTTGGTTTTTGAAAAGAATCATTTAAAGATTTTGTATTTCCGATCAACTTCATGATCATTATCGAAGTCGAACCAAAAAAAGTATTAAATGAAGTTTCCTACTGTCTTTGAGTTTGCATGTTGAGAAAATGAAAATGCCATTTTTAAATAAGTATTTTGTTTTATTGAGGCAATATGATAGAAGATTCTGAAATTCCAAAGGATTTTTCTGGGTTCAAGTTCCAAACTCAAATAAGTAGAAGTCTAGCCAAATGAAATTTTAAATAAATTGAATACTAATAAAAATCCCTTTGAAAGGATTGGAAAGTGTGTAATCTATAAGTTGATCATTTCTTAGAGACAGGTTAAATTATGGTATTTATTTTTCGAAATATATTCTAATAGACAATTGATGCTTAACATTTGTAATATTACTGTGAAAACGTAAACTTCTATAAATAGGAGTAATAGGTCAATTAAGCTAATTACGTACCAGCATAGTAACAGAATAAGTTCATAATCAGATGGTTGTAGTTATAAGACCAATCACTATGTCTGCTTTAATCATTCTTTCCTTATAATACACCACATGAATAAAGTTATAGATCGATAATTCTAAATAATTTGAAGCCATGAAAACAAACATTTAGCTAGTTTTAACTGAGTCGATTATTTTCTCATTATGGGGAAAATGATTTATTCTACATTTTAATCTTAACATGAAAGTTATTGTCAGCCATATTTAAATATGACAGCATAATTCATTAAGAAAGGGACGAACGATCAACACTGATTATGTAACTGAAACCATCACATTGTCATTCTCACACCGATGATGCGACTCACGATCAAAATAAAAATTCTGAAAGTAAACTACACAGTTCAGAAAAAAACATCCCCAAGTTTCAAATTCTTTTCATGTCTCTCTTAATCCACCATAATGTTTTACATTATTAAACTCTGTCGAGTGTGAGACAGTTACCCACCGATGACAACGGAAGACGGTCACCCAGTGTCGTGGATTGGTTAAAGTTAGATATTATTACCATTGGATACCAACTCAGTGGTCTAGAGGTCAAGTGTTCATGCATCACACCTAAGGACCTGGATTCAATTCTCACTTTTGGGGTTGAATATGTGCACTGTTGAGGAGTTCCATACTGGGATAAAACGGTTGTCCAGTGCTTCCAAGTTTTCATTGGTAGTCTTGCTTAGATCGATTCATAATTTCAATAAAAAGAATTTCCCATTATGACTTTCCAATATTTTTGGATAGTATTTATGTTAAAGGAATAACTTTAAAATCATAGTTATTTCCTTGACCTAAATGAGTTAACAGATGAATCACTATAGAAAATATTATTATTGATAGTGCAAAAGTGTTGTGGCAAAATCATGTGTAACTTACAGGAAATTCAAAAGTCTTATTAGGCCACCTGTTACGGTTAAATCGAGGGCCTAGACCTTCGACGACATTAGAACCATTTATGGCTTTCAATGCTGCAACCAACTCCCAGTTTGTCCTTAAAGGCAGTTCTTGTCCATTCACATTTAGAATGTATTCCCACATGTAGTCAGTATTATTTAATAATTTATCTGCACATAAAAGAAACACTTCAAGTATGGAATAATAACCCCATTGAACATTTACACTTTCTGATCGATTAACCACTATGATATTAGGGCCGAAACATTGAGCAGAATTCAACACATCATCATACAATGCTTGTGGAGATTTCGAATCTACATGAATACAATATAAATTATGTGGTCTGTAAATCAACCGAAGGAGACGAGATACTTGTTTAGTGCTTTGATGTATAGCTATACTGAATGCCAGGGGAAATTGTTCTTCTTCCTTTGACAAATTAACAGAATGACCATAGAACAACTTAAACTGTTCGCATCTGTATGGATTTGATAAATTGAAAAATCCATCATTCCACAATGATTGATTGCTTTCAGAAATTTCATGACTATGATTCACGGTAGAGTTCCTGAAAAGATATTCACAAACATGACTGATATTGTATCGTTTTATTTGGGTTCCGTTTGAATAATAATAATGTATGTGTATATCAGATGGAATCGATAGATGATTGAATATAAGCAATAATATAATCAAGAAACTTCCTATTCCTATACTTCTGATTACAATATGATTGAAAAATCTACTTGACGTTAGTTTCAAAGGAATAATTAACATTTCATTATGTATAAGAAGTAGTTGTTAAGATGTAAATCAAAGTTTATGTCTAATTTAGTTTATTTATAGTCATTGTTAGCATAGGCATTAAAGTGCAGCCCATTCGTTTAGCATTATTGAATAAATATAATGCAGTCACGAGTAAATTGTGATTTGACTAATAAATAAAAATGATTGGTTATATAATCTTGAATTGTAAAATTAACGGTAGTTCAGTCAATTAGTTGACCTCATTAAAACAATATTCGGTATATTACTTCTTAATGAATCAGTATTGTTTAAATAAACCGACTAAATTCTTATTACATCGTTTAAATGATAAGACTAACAAACATATACGGGTTGAAACTGTTTATAAATGTTCATCAAGAATTCAACATTTCTTCTTTAAGCTAGAAACCGTCTGTGTGTGAATAATGTAAAGTGATGTGTCTCTGTAATTCGACAAAGTACAATAAATAATTCGAATGATGTATGTTAGACTTATTATCTGCTGCACAGTTAATTAGTTATTGAACTTGATACGATAGTATAATATTCCAGAATGAGTAATATAATTTTCGTACAGAAAAGTATAATTTTTGGTTTTATTCTTATTTGTCAGTAGAGTATGTATTGTTAGATGGTTGAAGAGGATTCATTGAAAGTTCTAGGTATTAGTTCTATGCCAGTCGGCTTTTGTTAGCAAGATTTGTCTGCAATCATAAAGGAACTGGTATTTCCAGTGAGATTGTAACTCAGGTCATCCAGTGATGCAGTTAGACGAGAACGCTAGAAAAATCATATGTATTAAGGGGTGTTTTTGAGCAGTTTAAATCTACAAATATTTCTATCGTCTTGATTCAGGTAACATAAAAAGATAACTATATTCTTACACATTAATCATTTTTATATTTCATCTACAAGTCAGAAAACTTGAGAAGATACTGGATTAATGGGAACTTTTCATCTAGAAAATAAAGCTACGTACATATTTCTCATTAAAAGGATAATACTAGTGAATTGGAATGTTCAAACTAAAGAAAGGTATAATCTGTAATGTTGTATCATACCAATTATTTCTACATAATTGATCTCAGATGCTTGTTGATATACTTTAACGCAGATAATTACTGACTGCAGTGTTGAGACGACAGCACTTTAGCGATCAGAGTTAATTTATATAATTCATGTGAGTGTCCCGTTTCTTAACATCATAGTATATTAGTTTTTATTTAATAGTTAGAGTTATAATATAAGTCGTTTGAATTCAAGAAATTACTGGATTCTAAACAATAAATCTAAAGTTATAATTCTATAAGTAGAAAGGGACAATCAAACAACAACAACAACAAAAGTACTGGTTGGTATATGGCTGGTGAATTGGAGATAATGTTGTATAAGCTCATATGCAATATGAATAACTATATCGCTACTTTTAAGTTGATTGAAATAAATAGTTCGAGTCATAAGAATCAAGTTCAAATTGATCCCACCTATGGCTTATTTATAAGTAACAGTAGAATAAAGTTTATATTCAAGCATTTTTTTGGATAGAATTTAAGCTTCCCCTAAAAATAGAAAATAGTGCATATCCAAATACTTTTGTGTTGCTAAGGTAATAAAACACTAATCAAAAATGTCTAAACTAATCATATTTTGTCACCACTATCCAGAATAATTCATTATCTACAATTAATTGAAAGTATCAAACATCATTGTATTACGAAAATTCAATTTTTAAAATACCTAATATCGATTGTTTAGAATTTTCTTCAAATAAATATTTAGATAATAATTCATTATTCCATGAGCATTTATGAAAATACATATATTGTGAGGACGGTCCAGAGGTAAAATTGAGAAAGCTCTAAGAAGCTCAGAAGGAGCCGAACATATTCCATGCAATCAACTTTCGGAAGATTATTCCAGAATCACTACGTGTAGCTTCCCTATTGGATAATGCTGGTAATCCTCTGTGTATGGATTGGATAACTATAATGACGATTTCTTTTTTACTGAAAACTACAAATATATGACAGTATTGTACCATAATTGACATTGTGTTGGAAATAGCATTCCTACTTACTAATCTTTTGTCTTGTCTCTTGCGACGTTGAGGGTTCGATTGTTCAATTAGTCTAGAAGTACGCAGCATAACAAGAATCTAAAGCTCTAGTTACAATATATATATATTTAGATTAATTATTTATTTATCAAATGTTCTTAGTCTAAAATGAATTTATCAACATAAAAATTTATTGGATTTAATACAAAAAGTATTTGTATTATGTTAGTTTATTTCGCTTAATATTTAAACATTCTAAATAGTTTCTTTTGTAATGATATTGTGGTGTGAGCTAATTATATCCACACAAGTAGTATATAACCATGATCAGGCAGAGAATGTATTTCACTAGAAGATCGATGAGGAAAGAACGGAAACAAAACTCAATTGGTATGAAAATACATGAACAATAATAATCGGAGACTATGGACGGATATTTGTAGAAGGAATGGTGAAGATTTAGACAATTGATTGATAGTTTGCAAATTAACTATTTACTGTATGGTTGTCAGATTTTAGTGAGATAGTCCGTAATTTCTGTGTTAGATACATTCGATCGTCCCCATCCGTGTTCCTGTTCCCCACAATATGTTAATACGGCCGCGATATTTTTTCTTTTACAAAGAATTAGTTCTTTTCAATTGGTGTTTCCTCGAATGAATAAGATTTTTTACTATTTTTTCATAGGAAATTAATCATTTCAAATAACACTCATATTAAAATAGAATCTAACGTAAAGAGAATTTCCACAAATACGCTGACAGTAATAAATAGTCATTCAAATTTGTGTTTGAGACTGTTTATCATTATGGTAAAAAGTTATCTTTAAAGAAGAACAGAAGAATAGTTTCATCTATATTTTATAGTAATAGCTAAACTTTTGGTGGTATCAAGAATGAGTTGAGCATGCTTTGGAGTGTCTCGATAGAAAAGAAAGTATTGCAATGAAGGGTGTGAAAGTAAAACTGGTTCAATCTAATTGATTGTTGGTTTCTTAGACAAGTTAATGAAATTACGTTTTAATGGATACTGGTACTAATGAATCGACTTTCAAGATCCTTCATGTAAACTTAGTATATCGTAGTCGGTATTCCGTTTACATAAATATTTGGAAAAAAATAACTGGTCACAGACAATCACTGAGAACCAGAAAACGATAAATAGCTGTTTCTATGAGATTCCAGGATTTTGGGAGTCAAGCAGTTACTCACTAATAAGGTCGGATGATGATGATGAATTGACAGCGTGGTGAATAAATTCAGGTTAGTAATGTACATCATTTCCAGACGGTTTATTAGTGTAAACGCCAAGTATTCACGAAGAGACTTGATGGTTCTGACCACAAATTTCACAGGAATTCAGGTTGAACATTATTAAGATGTCCCATACGAAGACGAAACATCTGTCCAGTACATTCTAGTTTCTAGTGGTGATCAAACTAATATCAGTTCTTGATCAAGGCTACATAATGACAGGGAGAGTTTATAACTGTAAAAGATGGACAGTGGATGACTAATTTCTAGTACTTGCAATTAAATTTAGACACATATACATCCATATAATGACTTTCGCGAAACTTATGAGTATCCTTTGAGTTGTTTAAATCTATGGAAGTAATACAAGTTCATATCTCAAACATTTTAGATTCCTATTTACTCTTTCTTGTAGTCAAGGAAATCGTTTATTTATATATGATTTAACAGCTATAGAACAGTACAATTGACAAAAGGATGTTTAGAATGTGTTTCCACCTTATTTTCAATTCTTCATTTTAAGTAATTAACAATTATTTGTTGAATCGTGTAACAAAAGTAAGTTTAATCTTTGATCAATTTTCAGTGCTAATCCATTTTTACAATTACACACATATGAATATCAGATTTGCTCAACAACATAAAACGCTTAATTGATAGGTGTTGGTTAAAAAAATCGAAAGAAATTAATTATGATCAAATTTCACGAAATAGTAATAACTTTGCATGATGTAACTAATATCTTTATTCAGTACTCAACTACAGTAAAGTAAATTAACATATTTACTTAATAATTCACATTTTTATAAGTTACATTCGGTGTTTTATAGATTTCCTTATGAGTTTATTGATTATGTAACTGAAATATTGGTTTGAGTTAGACATTAACACCTTTGAATGCCGGCCTGCTCAGTGGTATAGTGGTTAAGCGCTCTCGTGCGAAACTGATAGGTCCTGGGTTCGAATATCGCGAGTCGAGATTGTGGATGCGAACTGCTGAGGAGTCCCACAATAGGACGAAACGGCCGTCTGGTGTTCTCAGGTTTTTCATGGTGATCTAGCTTCAAATGAGTCACAATTTCAACTATATGAAAAATATCTTCCTAAACATTTAGATAAGTATTATTTTAATTATCAGAAGGGGTTTTGTGGAGATTTAACATTTTTCATAGTTGAAAGCGTGAGTCAATTGAAGCTAGACCACCATGGAACACCTGGAAACACTGGACGGCCGTTTCGTTCCATTATGGGACTCCTCAGCAGCGTGCATCCACGAACCCGCTCTCGCGAGATTCGAACCCATAATAGGACGAAACGGACAGCCAATGTTTCCAGGTTTTCCATGATGGTCTAGCTTCAATTGACTCACGCTTTCAACTATGAAAAATATTATTTTATTTTTGTTACAAGCTCTTGTATTTCCTGGAATAGTGAATTACATGAAATGCATATCGATGTTGGAATTTCCTGAATTTACTAACATTCCATAGTTATTCTATTTTAGTAGTGCTTAAGGATTTCCATTTTTGTGGATGAAACTTTTTAAGTCTCTTCGTAAACGAGTTTTGTTAAATTTTCTATTCACTTAGATGTGGTTCTGGATTGTGTTCTCGTTAACGGTGTAGAAGTAAATGAAAGTTGAGAATTCACTTCACTTTTGAGGTCAGATAACTGTACAATAGTTGTTTTGCATGAGTTGT